ATCCGGTTTGCCACACATGGATCGTATGGGTTGAACACAAATCCAACTTGCTCGAGGTCACTTCTGAATAGCTTGTACCAAAGAAGTGCCGCCAAAACCATGCCATAAATGGCTCTCTCCACGACAACATAGAGGACAGGACGTCCCTTTTTGTATGTCAGGAATGAAGCATAGGTGTTAGGATCAATTTCCACAAGTAGGTCTGCAAGGGTTCCCTCAATGATCATGAGGACCCTGTCTTCACCTGGTTTGACAACTGGCATTGGAGTCTGAATGAATGCGTTTGGAACATCCAGTGACATGACATCCCTGTCTTCCGAGGCATCAACACACATGGATAACATCAAACCCTCAAGTGAAACTGTGGGACTTCTGGCGTCCTCCTTCTGGTGGTACACTCTTGTTGGCTTCCCATTGTAGACAGCTCTGGCCTTGACAGTGCCATCTCTTTTCTCAGTAATGAACATGAGTGCCATCTGTGCTTTCTTCAATTCAGATTCACTGCACTGGTTCGGGTCAATTGGGCTGAAACATACTCGGCTGTGGAGCTGGTCCATCTCTTTGAGTGCTGCCTCTCTTGCTTTGGTGCCCCATACTTTCAGACCCTTGGGTAGAAGATGTTGTTGGGCATGGCTGCTCTCATCCTTGACTTCTGCTGTGGCACTCCTGTGATTACAGGAGTCCATGAACAATGCCAAGTGCTTGCTTGTTTCGGTCTCGTAAAGCAGTGGCTGATTCACTTCATCATCTTGGATGAAGGTTACTCCTTTCTTGTTTGCTTCAGCTGTAGCAATCCGAGCTGATCTTCGAATTCCAACTCTGGGAAGCTTGGAAGCTTTGTCTGGCCCAGCGAGGTTTCCATTATTGGTATCCACTGCTGGTGCCGTCTCTTCGACTGTAGGGTTGGCTGGACTTGTACTTGTTGGGATTCCTTGGAATCCCTCTTCTCCTTCTTCATCGGAGTCAATGTCTGTGGCATACTGTTTGGATGCCCTTGGTACTAGCCCTGGGGCGTTCCCATCCTCAGAATCTTCATCTGATTCTTTGGATTCCACTGATTCATCGTCCGAAGAGTCTCCATAGACTTGGAGGTAGCTCTCATTTCCATTGTCACCATCCACTCCTGCAGGCAAACCTACAGGCAAAAATTCCACAAGGTCACGGTTGTGAAAGATTAGAGGTTTCTTGCCCTCACCGTATGCCTTCTTTTCGACAGCATCAATGACTGAGCGAGGCATTGGCAGAATACGAACATGCTGGCGCGTGATGACTTCAAAGGTGACAAGATCCATCACACTGTGCCCTCCTTGGTGGTTGTCCATCAATGGACGGAGATAGATGCAATCCAATCGCCGGGGCTCCATGGAATTGAGCTTGTCTGGTTCGTTGGAAGCAAGACAATAGCTCCCAAAAGTGTACTGGATATCTTTGTAGTTGGTGGTCCGACCCTCCAAGATCTGCCTGGGAGGATACACTTTGGAAATTCCATCAAGTGCTGGGAAAAGGTTGAGTTTACAATTGACATCATAGACCAATTCCACAATCATCACCTTTGGCATCACCAGAAACGGTGTAGCATGCCAGGCTGCGCGGATGCGCTCCTTCAAGGTTCGGATGTTGCGCTCGGCGGGACCACTGTGAGTCTGAGCCGCTCCATGGTTGAGCTTGAGCTCCATGTCGTTCTTGACAGGATCCATCAGGCTCTTGAACTCCAGGTCGCACTGGATTTCTTTGATCTTGAAATCATTATTCCCGTACCGATCAAAGATTTTGTCAATGGCAGCATAGAATGATTTACCTTTCCGATTGGTCAGGTAGGCTGATTCTCTGTGGCGGATCTGCAAGTCGGTGAATGCTAGAAAAGCAATTTCACAAACATAAAACACATCCATGCATCCGGTCAAGAACCTGTGGGGTGCCACCAGCTCATCCGGAACAGTATGGATACTGGCGGTCACTGGTGGTGGGCGCCTGCGTGTAGTAGAGCCCTTGGCCTTGCCCATGTCGCTGCCAAAAATTAATTCGGCACGATCGATGTCCTCCAGCTTGACAGGACAGTCTCTGATTTGTCCAGTCCTGATCATGTTGCGGTAGCCCTCCAAAGGCGGACGCTGGAGGTTGTGGTACAGATTTCTTGCGAGAAATGCACCCTTGGCTTGCTTCTTACTTGGTAAAGCCTTCGAGGTTGCCCTCTACCGTCTGAACCAAATGTTGGAACTCCGGTTCAAACTGGTTGAGTTGGGCCATGTGATCCAGTAGGTCTTGCTCAATCAGCACTCCATACAGACCTTTGGCGGTCCTTCCATACCTGGTGTGAATCCCAGTTGGGCGGTAGTGGTAGATGGCGTCGTCGACTCTTGAATCCATGAGGACATAGGATCCATCCTGTGCCCTGACGCAGTCATCCACAACAAGAGACAAAGCGTTGATGTTGGCGATGCCTCCTGGATTGGCATAGCCGTTTCCGTATGGGGTGTCACCTTCTTGGGTAAGCTTGGTGCTTCCAACGTTGGTGGCCATCTCGATTGGTCTGGGAGATAGCCGCTTGCGGACAATCATGTCCTGGTTCATGACAGTTCGGATTGAACTGCCACTGTCGAGATACACTGTGTTGGTTCCATCAGGAATGAGGTTCTTGACCGACACTCCTGTAAGATTCGGCTCTGCCACTCCTGTGAGTTCGGCATCTGCCACTCCTGTAAACTCGAACGCAACTTGATGATGCTGGTAGTCTTCATAGCAGTTGCCTCTCTGGTTTTCTTGCTGACGCCGGCTGGGTCCACGGTACAAGCAACGAAACTCATTCTCTGTATCCGAGCTGTAGTTGGAACAGCAGCTCTGGGTATCATCTTGACCATTCCGAGAGATCACTCCTTCAGACGGATCTGTGTTGAAGGAAGTGTCAGGGAAGGCAGAACGACTCACAAGAATGTTATGGGTGTCACTGTACCGCTGTAAGACGAGGTCAGACCCGATGCTTACACCGTCTGGACCTCCCTCGTCAAGCTGATCGTAGCCGTAGCCGGAGTGGTAGTTCTCTTCTGATGATGTCTCATCTCGCCTCCACTCTTCCGCATAAAGCGGGACTTCTCCAAGGAAATCAACGGCGAATTGCCCCCAGTCAACGTATTCTTCCGGCTCACTGTCGGTTGTGGAGTCATCTCTTGCCATCAGGGGCGGGACTCAGATAGCTTTTGGCGGGCTACATTTTCAACTGTTATTGTCACATCCTCTAAGTATTTCAAATGCACTTATCCTTACTGCATATGTTTTAAAACGTCCATTTATGGTTTTACCAGTCACTAAATTATCACCAAAGCACATAAACGAAATTTTGTAACATTTTATGGGCTGACAGGACCTCTGTGGAAACTCGAGTCGTGCTACCGATCGTCTCCTAAATCCTTTTGATCGTCTCCTATTTAATGGATTTCGTCTCCTAAAAATAGGAGACGAAACGGATCGTCTCTTAAATCTTTCGTCTCCTCTTAAATCGTCTCCTATTTTCAACGGATCGTCTCCTAATCTCAACGGATCGTCTCTTAAGTGCACCATGTAAACTGTATGGTATCGTCTCCTAAAGCTTTCAGATCGTCTCCTATTTCGAAACGATCGTCTCCTAAATGGAACGTCTCCTAATGAATCGTCTCCTAAATATAGGAGACGATTGCTTTCGTCTCTTAAATCATTTCGATCGTCTCCTAAGCCTCGGTGTATCGTCTTTTAAGTAATTTGCCACGAATGACGTTTCCACAGAGGTCCAGTTTTGTGAGTACATCAATCTTGGATATCACCAATTTACTTAAGTGCAAAACTGCTTGTCCTAATTGTTCCAAATATATGCAATATATTCTTCATGGCTCAAGAGTTGTGTTACAAGTCTTCTCTGAAACATCTCTCCAACATCTCCAACAATACTCACCCAGCCTTAGGATCCGAAAATTCGTCCAAAATTATGGGCTCACAAAACACTTTGCTCATTATTCTTCATCTTCTCTTGGCAACATAATTTTCCTTTACTGTTTCTTCTACAATGTCCAAGTCTCAAGTTGTGGCAGTTCTATATGAGAAGGATCTCCTCCATGGAGTGTCCAATTCTGATGATATTTGCCAGTTCTGGCTGCCTCTTTCTACTATGTCTTCACATTTGCTCCCTCATACTACCACTACTACTGAGGGTGAAACGGAGACCGGGACAGAATCTGACCTTGAATCAACCTTCATCAAATCTGATTCTTCTCTTTCCTTCGAACCTTCCCCACCTGCTGAAGATTCTTGGCACCTGTCTGATGAGGAAACTGATTAGTTCTTGGTCTTACTTTCGTAATGGTTGTTTACACACAACTGATTTGATTTCCCTTCTTGCAACAAATCTGCATCAGTCCTTTTAATACACTTTATATTTAAAATTTCTTCCTTGTTGTTCTTCATGCATGTTTTCGTACGACTTTTGTACTCCGAATTTTGTACCTGCACACCGTACCGCACCGTACCGCACCGTACGAATTAAAAGCTACAGAGATCCTGCATTCAATGAATGCGATATTTAAATGTTTCTGTGGATGGCAAGCTTGCCCCCCAGGCCAAATTCTTTTGCAATGCCTCACCACTGTCAATGCAAACAAAACTCTATATTCATAACCCCATATGTTGTTCTATATCAAGACATGACTCTCGATTGCCCTTGTTTTAAATAAAGCCACTAATTTATGTCTCCTCAATTCCCACAAATGCAAGCCCTTCAGCCCATTTGTTGGCCCCTAACTTGTCCCTGATCTCAAGAAACTAGACTAGTCCTGAGTTCCGTAGCCTGGCCCGCTGCCAGCTTCAGTACGATGTAGCTAAGTTCCCTAGCCAGTACGGGTACTGGTTCCGGTGGTAGGACATACTACATGTAGTCCCTACCGGTACTAGTGCGGGTACCCTAGCCCAGCTGCTAGCTAGACCCCCGCTTCACGACGAAGGCCCCCAAAGTACGTCCCCTTGCCTCAGACTAGCTAGTGTATAAAATATTATTGCTGTAAACGATAACGACACCAATCCGGTCCATATAGCAAGGTGCTCTGTTTGTTGACCTATCGACAGTGGGAGCGAATACCTCTTCAATTGAAAGCTTCCAGTGCTGAACGAAGGATGGTTCACGTTCCATCATTTCTAGTTGGGGGTCTCTTCTCTGGAGGCGCTTTCTTGCTGCTCCACGAACAAGTGAGCCATCGACAGAAGCTATCGCATAAGTGGATCATCAGAGGTAGAACAAAACGTTGAGAAGCTGATGATGCAGCCGTCGTCTACCGGTGTTGACTAACCGTTATCAATTCGTTTGCATTCGTAGAGTTGGCAGAGAAAAAATGGAAGGACATCAAAACTCAATCTAGCAAACCGGAAGCTGGGAGCACCAGTCAGGTGAGACGATGTCGGTTTTGCCTAGAGACTCGACTCGCGGGTGGTATCCACTTGTTTCTGACGACTTGTGATCCCTTCATTATGTTAGTTTCAACCCCCAAAATTAGAACAGGAATGGAACAAGGCCTTGGGCAAGCTACAAGACGCAATGAAAAGGGACCCATAATGCGTGCTTAGCGAAGAGTTGTTAGCTCTAATGAAGGATACGTGATCACGGGAACAGGCCAGCTACGCTTCCCTAGTCCCAGTGATCTTGATAGTTTTATAGTCAAACCATCCCTTTTATCCTATCTATAAATAAACACTCATTCTGCCCCGATACCCGAGGTCCAGCTCACATTTTTCATCTCCGAAGCTATCGTATACAACTCGGTCTCAATCTGATCATGAACAGAACAATCACTGCTGCTTGAGTCTCGTGGCTACGTGAAACAAGGAAGAAAAGGTGTTAGAATAACTGCCCTGGATGTACCTCACAAAAACATCAACAGAAGCATCTATCTGTACTAGCAAGTACTCACATCAACCCTGGCTTTCATTTCTTGGTTTAGCGTAGCATAACTCCTGGCAAGCTGGTTTGCCCTCGCAGTCGTCTGCCGATGCCGTTCCTCTAGAACTTCCAGTAGCTTGTTTTGTTGGGCATGGCATTGCTCCCACTCCTCACACTTTGCAACAAGCTTGCGCAGGTACTCCCTGAGCTTAAAACTGGAATTGTTGCACGCACAATGCAGCCAAGCCGATTAGTCTACCAGTCGGAGAAAACGGGGTGACCGTTCTTTCATTCCACTTACCAGCGATCTTCCCAAATGTCTTTCTTTTTCTTGAGCTTAGTGACTTCGTCCTCTTTCGCACCAAGATGCTGGTGAAGATTCAATCTGCAACACGAAATGCACAAAATGAGAGAAGTCTGCCCGAAGTCCAGCATCAGAAATGGGAGGAGGTCCACAGTTGAAAGACTTACACATCTGCTTCGACCTCAGACCCTGCCCGTCTAGCCTCTTCCAGTTCAACTCGTACGTGGTCGACTTGCGATAAAAGATCTTGGGAATTCTGCATTTCATCAGCAAGCTTACTGGAGCACTCTAAAAGAGTCATTTCTGTATCCTTCAGCTTTTCTTCGATTCTTTCATGGTCAGACTCGGCCCGTCTGGCCTCTTCCAACTCGACTCGGACTTGGTGAAGTTGGGAAAGGAGATCTTGGGCATTATGCTTCTCATACTCTAGAGATGATCTCAGTTCCATTTCAACTGAACGCAGCTGAGACAGCTCCTTTTGTGCCGAGTCGATTGCTTCGTCTTTGTCAGTTTTAATCTGGTTGATGGTATTCACTCGATCCCTGTCAAGTTGAACCGCAGATTGCCTGTACTCATTATGTTTTTTCCACACAGACTGGAGCTGGTCTCGGCACTTGCAATATTCAAGCTCCAACCCGTCTCTATCTTGACGGGTGGCTGCGAGCTCATCCATACAACTCTGGAGGCGACCTTCGGTGCTCTTCGACAGCGAATCGGCTGCGGAGCAAGCGGCCTTTAGATCCTCTATTGTTGCTTGGCTCGTTGCATTTCGTTCTGTGACATTGGCCAGCTTCTCGTTGCACTCTACATAAGACAGTTTCAGCTTTTCCATGGCTTCATCCGTCTCTCTTTGATTCGTTGCGAGAAAGTCAACTTCAGCCTGGCGGCTGTTCTGTTGTTGCATCATTTGTGCAACCTGGTCACGCAGCTGCTGGTTTTCTTCGGTTGCCTGCTGCAGTTTGTTCAGAGAGGATTTCAGATCCAAGCCCAATTCTGCTGTGATTTCATCCAACCGTTGTTGGAGTTTCTCTACTTCCGCTTCATACGAATCGTTGATTTGAGTGGTTTCCAAGAGCTCCTCTCGAGCCTTCTCGCTTTCTTCCCGAACAACTTCCAATTCAGACGACACCTCACCCAGCCTTTGTTTCAGAGCCTCGACTTCTCCTTCCAAGTCATCTCTATGCTGTGCTGTGCGGGCAAGCTCATCACATAACTTCTGACCCTCCTCAAGACTTGTCAACAGCTTCGTTTGCGTCTCTTTCAACTCGCTTCCCATCTGACGGGTAATCTCTTCCAGTCTCTGCTTTGTAATATCAATGGAGTCACGCATGGCATCTCGTTCTTCCGAGAGTTGACCAAGGGCCTCAGCAGCGTCACGGTTTTCCGTGGCCTCGGCCTCAGCGGCTTCGTTTTTGCGAGTCATTACAGCAATATCCTGACTGAGCTTTTGCTCCCGCGAATGCGCTTGGTCCAGGGAGTCGAGTGCTTCTTGAAGTTTACTTTCAGTCCCTTCCAGGTTGGAGACCAACTCGTCCTTCTCCCTGATCAGTTTCTCCGCCTCGCTCAGCAATCCCTCCTCGCTTTCTTGGGCCGCATAAAGCTCTTGTTTCACGGCGTGGAGGTGGTTTGTTGCGCTGTCTCTCTCTTTTGCAACCGCAGTGGCTTCGAACTGGGTCTCTTCTGCCCACCGCGTTGCCTCTTCGACCTCTCGTTGCAGGTGCATTTCTGCTTCTTTAAGCGATTTGAGTTGTTTCAAAGCTTCATCCCGTTCCCCTAACGCAGTTGCCTTATCTTGCAGAATGGATGCCTCTGTTTCTTTCAATGACAGGAGATCATTCTCAATTGAAGTTTTCTCCTGTTGCAGCGTCTCCTCAGCTTGCCTAGACAGGACCAGCTGATTGGCGATTTCCTCATTCTCGGACGACATTTCTGCAAGCTTATTGTTGCTTTCGATAAACTTCAATGTCAAGTCTTCCAACGAAACTTCGGTCTCGTGCAGACAGTCTTGAAGCCGCACATTCTCTGACCTTGTGGTTTCCTCTTGTGAACGAAGCATCGTCACCTCGTCACGAGCTTCCTTCAGAGCAAGATCTGATTCCTTGACGCCCGTCTCGAGATGATTCTTGGTATCTTGTAGTTCCAGCTCGACGGCATCAACTCGTTTTTGCATTTCTTCGCGGTTGCTTTTCAGATCCGCTTGTGCTTGTGCCAACTGTTGCTCGACGATCTCTTTCTCGCTGGCCAATGCATTCATTCCATCGAGTTGCTCAGTGGTACTAGCGAGCTTTTCATTCAAGGCCACATAAGTCAACTTCAACTTCTCGTGAGAGGCTTGAGCAGACTGAAGCTCGCGCTCAAGACGATCAATCTCTTTGTTGTCCCTTTCTCGTTTTGAAGTAGCCACTGACAGTTGGCTTTCAAGCGTGGCGACTTTGTCGTCGCAAGCAGAGAGGGTCGATTGAAGTTCTTGCTCCATTCGTTTGATTCTCTCAAGGTCGCTTTCGTTGGATGTTCTCGCTGCTGAGAGGCCTCCTTCCAGCGACGCGATCTTCTCTTTGGCCACGACCAGCTCACGACCTTGCCCAAGCACCTGGGTTTTCAGAGTCTCCATTTCCTCATTTGCAGCAGCAATGTTTGCTTCAAGGATCTTTGTTTCTTCAATCTCCGAGTCCCGCGCACGATATATCGTCTGTAATGTCTCCTTCAACTTATTGCATTCCTCAGCCGCAGAGTTGGCTTTTTGCTCGAGCTCGTCTCTTTCCTGATGCAACTCGGCTAGTTTGTTGCTGGATGCAGCGTAAGACAACTTGAGCTTATGCATTGCTTCGTCACCGACCTCCTTTTGTTTCCGAAGGTCTGCGAGCTCTTTCTCCAACGCCTCAATTCGGTGAGTCGCCTCTTCGGCTTGTTCCGCAGTGGCTTGTGACTGCTGGAAGTCCAAGATGGTAGAATCGTATTTCCTTTGCAATTCTTCTCGCTCCCTCTTGGTCTCCTCAAGTGACTTGACTGCCTGTTGATACCTCTCGTCCAGGGAGGCCTTTTCTTGTTCTGCTTGCCCAAGACGCTGCTCCAAGAACTGCTTTTCGGAATCGTGGCTTGCGACTTGCTTGACCCTTTCCTGTGCTTCCTTGGCAAGCCGCGAGACTTCTTCGCGCAACTGTGATTCAGTCTGTTTCATCGCATCCAGTTCCTCGGTAACAAGTTCGTGCTTCTCGGCGAGTTCGGCAAGCTTATCGTTGGACCTAACAAAGCTTTCCTTCAAACGCCCGTTTGCTTTCTCCGCCTCAGCCCGCATCTCCTTTAGCCTCTCAATTTTGACTCTTTGTGCCTGTTCGACCCTTGCAACGTCTGCCAATTCAGCGCGAAGGTGCTGATACTCGCTCGTGATATCACTCGATGATTGCTCGTTGGATGCTTCCTCGAGCCTCTCTTGGAATGAGTTGGTCCTACTGGAAAAGGCATTGGTCCTGCTACTTGAAGCGTTGCGAACAAGGCGATACTCAAGGTCGCTGATCTCTTTTTTCATCGTCGCTATTTGAGTTCGATTCGCCTCGTTTTCAGCTTTGGAAGTTTCCAAACCCAGCGCTGCCTGAGACAAATTCGCAGAGAGAGCATCTCGTTCCATCATGAGCTTGGTCATTCTATCAACTGACCGAGGAGCCCCAGATTCTGCTTCGAGCTGTTTCAATTTCGTCTCCTGAAGTTGCATGAAACTACGAAACCTTTCCTGATGCTGAGCCAGGTCACGCTGTAATTGTGACACAGTACCCAAAAGGCCGGCGTTTTTTGTTGCTTCAGCCTCGACGGCAGTACCAAACACGTTTCTTTGGACGTCATCAAGGCGCATTTTTTGTTGAATTTCAGGAGGAGCTTCTGGGCCGGAACTGCCTGCTGTCTGGTCATCTTTGGGCTCATCTCTGCCGTCCATGTCGCTGTCCATTGAAAATGTAAGATCACTAGAGTAGAACGGAGAGACAGCTTCGATTTTCGACAGATCGAGGATCGTCTCACGAGCTGGAGATTCAGCGATGGGGTCTAGCTTGGTCGAAGTCATGTGCCCTCCTTCCTCGTCATCTGACATTTGACCCCCTTCCATCAGTTCCACTTGCTGATCGGGAATGGAAGTGACCGCAGCAAACGTGGCGTCTAGGACATCCGTTTCCCTGGTTCCCGATTGTGACACAGACCCATCGTCTGAATCGAATTCCAACGACGAACGGATGTACTCTACAGTTGACTGAACCTTGACAAGTCGATCCGCGTACTCTGAGACTACATTTGCCACCTTTTGGTCCATCATCGAGAGTTGTTGTTGCACAAACTTCTGGATCACTTGAAGGGTGGATATCACCTGAGGACTCAAAGTCTGAGAAGAAGACGAGGCCAATATTTGTGACAGGAGGGCTGGGTTGACGCTGCTTTTCTTCTTCGAACGTAGAATGGGCTTCGTGCCAGCTGAAAGCATACCAGAGTGCAACTGAGCTACTGTCTTTTCAATTCTGATGAAGAACTCGGATTCGTCTCTCCAAAATTTGTGTTCTGCCTTTTTGACTTGGTGGAGAAGATCTTTCGGAAGAGCTCCGGGCCCCTTCTGCTCAGCGTGCGATTTCCATTTCTCGACTTGCTGCTGCAGCTGTACAATAGTGGCCGATTGGTCTTTCAGCTCTCGTTCGGCTTCGTTCAGCCGCCAGGTCGTTGCTGTAGCATCCTTTCGAAGAAGCTCCAGGTCGTGGGTCGCAGACTCGGCGGCATTTTGGTTCTTCAGAAGAGCACTGTTTGCCTCTTCTATTTCAGATGATAGCTTGGACGACTTCTGCTCGAGCACAGCCCTCTCTCGTGTCAGCTCCTGGACCTCCCGTTCACTCATAATCAGTGCATGGTTGGTTTTCTCCAATGATGTCTCTAATTGCTTGGCTTGGGCTGCAATTCCATCCCTTGCACGAATCAATTCCCTCACATCCCGTTGACTTCTCTGTAGCTCAAGTTGAGCTTCTTCGGCGGCATTTGATGATTCCGCTGTTTGACTGCGAAGTGCATCCCTTTCACGCGCCATATCCCTGAGTTCTTCTCGGGTTGCCTGGACGGCATGTTGAGCTTTGTTGAGAGCCCCTGATAACTTCTGGGACTGGCCATTTAAAGAATCCCTTTGGCTAGCCAAAAGCATTGATTCTTGTTGCATTCTCTTCAGCTCAGCTTGTGCTCTCTCCACAGATGCTGACATGTTCTGCGAGTTTGCATTGATTTGGTCTCGTTCGCGAACAACTTCCCTTAGTTGTTGCTGAGCTCTGTGCAATTGAGAATGTGCTTGCTCCAGATCTGCCGCCAGTTCCTTGCCTTCACCGCGAAGGTCGTCTCGTTCCTTGACAATGTTTTTGATTTCCTGTTGGTTTACTTTCAAGCTATACCGAGCCTCCTGCACGGTAGCGGTGAGTTCATCTGCTTGCTTTCTAAATTCGTCTCTCTGCATGGTCGCATCGTTGAGTTTTTGTTCCATCACCAGCAAGGCGCGGTTGGATTGTTCGACATCATCAGAAAGCTTCGTTACTTTTCCAGAGAACATGTCGCGATCTACTTGTGCGGACAGCAAAGCTTTGTTTGCTTCCTCAATGTCATTTGCCAGTTGCGCCGCCCGGTCACTGAGACTGTCCCTCTCATTGGTCAACTCCTCTAGTTCCTTCTCGACAGATGACAGGTCATGGTTTGCGTTTTCAATAGTCCCAGCCAACTCCAACTCCTTGACTTTTTCGTTCAGCCGCTCGAGTTCTTCAGCCATAGCAGAGCATCTTGTTTTGTAGACCCCCAGCTCTTCTACTTGCGCCAACAAGGTGGGCGTTTCTGCGCGTGCTCTGGCCAGTTCGGTTTGGGTCGACTGCAGGCCACGCTTGGCTTCATTTACTTCGTTGGACAACTGGATATTCTTGCTCCTCATTTCATCACGATCGTAGGATGGCCTGGTGGCTTGATGATCATTGAGATGTTTGATTTGATTGTAAAGGTTGGAACGGTCCGAAGCCATCCCTTGCAGTTCCTGGCGCTGCAGTTCCAACGCCTGTTCCTTCCGTGCGCTCGCGCTGGACATGGATTTGAGCTGCTCTCGAAGCTCCGAAATGATGCCTTCTTTCTGGCTGGCTACCGACATCTGCACAGTTTCCAAGTCAGAGTTGTGCTGATTCTTCATGGATTCCATCTTGTCATAGGCTGCGTGAAGCTGTCGCTCTAAGCCTAGCTTGTCAACAGTTGCCTTTTCGAGTTGTGCAGCGAGATTGCTAGCCCCCTGCAAGTTGGTGTCCTTCAATTCGTCGATTTCTTTCTTCATCTTTTCCAGAGCGCTTTCTCTTCGTTCCAGTTCACCTTCTAACTGTTGATTCTTTTGTGAAAGTTCGACACATGTCACCTCTGCGAACCTAATCTCCTTTATTGCTGTTTCATTTCTCTCCAGCAACTTGCGCTGTTGCGTTTCGGGACTGTGCTTTTTGAGGTTGACTGGATCAAACGGAGATTGTGGCTGCAGAGGGAGTGTGAATTCATGGAACTTGGCCAGCTCATCTTCGTAGTACTCTTTCTGCTCCCGCATCACCTGTCTGGCACCTTCCAACTGAGCTTCCAATTCTTCGATACGAGCCGTCGGTGAAATCGACTTCTTGGTAGCGCCCAAGGTATCTTGCACGGCAAAGACTTTTGTGACGAGTCGGCGATTGGACTTGCTCGGGGTCGTCGTTGGTGTTTCCGAGACATCGCCCTCGTTCTCGTTGAGATTCACTGGTCCCTTATCCACAGTAGAACTCGACGAAACAGCCTCCAAATCCAAGTTCCCCTTAACTGCAGCATGCGACTTTGCGTGCAAGGCAGCCAGTGTGGGACTAGCGGATGAATTGTCATGTTGCGATTGTTGTTGTTGACTGTTGTCAGAGGCATCTACCTGAGGTTGCGACGTGGGAGCGTCGAGAGAACCAGACAACTCCAAGTCTTTTGGAACCAAACCAAACAGATCGGTGGTTTCTTCTTCCATGTTGTACCGTTCTGTCTCTTCCTTCTCGCTTTCATCGGAATCCGGGGGACTCAGAATGCTGGTGTTTCTCCATCGTGGTGTCGCGTCTTGATCATTCCTATTCGGGTAGTTGATGACAGCATCTTGGGAGCTTGACACGGTATGAGCCACGGCCGAAAAAATCTCGTCGTGGCTCCGGCTTTTCAAAGAAGACGCAGTACCTCCCGCAACTGGTCCTGCTGCCAAAGACCAAGACAAGGCACGAACAGAAGGGCTGCCGGAAGGGCCTTTGGAAACAAAGATATCTTGATTTGGTACATTGCTGCGTGACCCTTGTGTAGACGATGACAGGTTCAATGAACTTGGCATTGTCGATCCCTCAGCAGTGTCGTTGTTGTTGTTGTTTTGAAAGACAAAACGAGACTGCGATCCCAAAGATGTTGCCTCTAGGAGGCTTCCCAATTTCAGAGAACTGGAAGCATCCGTGGTGCTTTGTTTCTGTTGTTGTGATCCAGGATTTGATTGGTGGACATCATCGGATTCTCCAATTTTGTCAATATCCCCCAGTACATCCTTTAAATCCTTGGCAAATTCTTCTTCCAATGCCTCCAAGTCGCGTAGATCATCTTCATAGTTGTTTTCGGACTGCATGGTCAATGACAACGAGTCCGCCTCGGAAGGTGCCGCCATGTTATGAAAGTTCGCCTCATCTTCGGCAATCAAGCTCAACTTCTCGTGATTGTCCAGTTCGTCCTCGTTTGGTACTCTGGACAATAAGGAGCCATCCACAAAGGGTGACTGTGGGGACAAGGAAATTGCCATGGAAGTTTCCATGAGTGGATTGTCGTTGTGCAGGTATCGCGCAGGTGTCTGATGATGACTCGGCAATGGTGTCTCTGCTTCCCCGCCCACTCCAGCGGAAAAGTAGGCCGTTCTGTTGGCATCCCCGTCATCTTCGTCGACCCGGTATCGATCCAAGGGTGACGAGAAATTGGAGGTTGCCACGGAAGACGCGTCTCCTCCTAGTTCCTGCTGTTCTTGAATCTCTTGATGATGTTGTACACTGCTGGCACTGGCAATGGTGGAAGGACTGGTGCTGAAGTCAATGGAAGTCTTGCTGGCCGACTTGTCTGGTGAATCCATTTCATCTTGACTGACAGCCCTGGGAACGGTCATGAGTCCTCTCCATTGGCCTTCTTCTATGGCAACCGATTGCATAGGATGAGTTTTCGTCATGGTCTGAGGAGGAGTTGATGCTGATCCAGAAGGAACCAATAGTTTGCCATTGCCCAGCTTTCGAAAGTGTCTCGTCGTCTTTTGACCCTCCAAAGTGCTACTGCTATCCGACAGGATTGCATGCGGCCCGTTCACACTCGAACCACTCCAGGATCCAGACGGTGGATTATAGTAACTGGCCATGGCGGAAAACTCTTGCGCCAATGACGTTTCCACAAAAACTGTCACACACAACTACGCTGGCCTCCTTGTACCACCCACTATTCCGATGGATCCAATGCCAAGAAACCAGGTTTTGTGGCTGTCTGCAGTTATTAAGGAAGCTAACGTACTACAAAAGAAGCGTCGGCTACAACAACAGAAGGAACAGTCTCCCCACTCCAAAGTCCTTGACTTCCAAAAGCCAACAAGGCACAAATTTGGCGGTTGTTTGCACCGACGGCCGTCGCCTCGGCAGTTCAAATGGGACAGATCAAGTCCCTTTGCGTCCGTGACTAGCTACCGTAATGCTTCTCCCTTGGTCACAAGATTGATTTCCATTTTCATGGGCATCCATGTACTACATTGGGGGGCTACTATGCTGTAGCTAGCTAGCTAGACTACTAGAAAAGTAGAGCAGTAATTTACGGAACAAAAGGGGGGCAAGCTCGGGGACACAATTGATGGCTCATGGCTAATGGCTTTGACATAGCTGCCGATAGATGCAGAGCGGGATCTGGTATCTCTCTGGATGAAACAATTGATTGATATCTCTCTATTCAGTGGTACCAATGGATTTTTCATATCACAACAGAAGAAGTTCTGGCAGTCCAAGGTCTCATTACTTCCATTCTTCTCCGATACCCCCAGTCACTGCGATCTTGGCCATGATCCTTTCGGCTTCTTTCTATCTTGCCACTGCAAGTAGAATACCGATTGGTGCAGCAAGACACTCAATTGCTGGCTGTTTCCTACCAAATAATAGAGGCTGCAGCTCTACGTCGTCTCTTCTGGCTTTCATGTACGAGGGTCCTGATCATCTGAATTCTAGAAGAAGTCATGCTCGACATCCGACACGACACTCAGCACGTCGCTTGTTTCCAACATCATCCAATGAGGACACGACAACCAACGCACTCTCCTTGGAAATACCCACAGCTCAAGATACCGAAGAAGTTGGGGCCTTGTTTGCAGCGGTTCTTCTGAAAGACTGCTTTCGTGATGGAATAAGAAATGAACAGAACTTTCTAAAAGGGACAACCATATTTCTGGATGGGTAGGTCAATGTTGACAACTATTCATTTTGTTGTGGTTGAAATATCATGTCAAGCAGCAACGACACCTCAACGTTCATTCATTGGCTTCCTTTCGACCACTACATGTGCTACTCTTCCAGTGACCTGGGGGCAGGTAAAACAGCCTTTGCTCGGGGGTTTCTCAGGTCTGCAACAGGAGATGACAATCTGCGAGTCACATCACCAACTTTTTTGCTAGTCAATGTATATCCAATCTTGGGAGGGAGTTTAGAGTAAGTCAGCAGTGTGTTCTCCCGGTGTAATGTCTGTCACAGCTCGCTGCTCATCTATCTGGTCTTCAGAATCCACCACATGGACGTCTATCGATTGAAGGGAGACCCAGAGGATTTCAAACCCCTGAACTTGGATCATGTCTTTGCAAAACGTGAGTAAATATGGTGCCCTTTGAAAGCACCAGATCATCAACCAACACAATTCGCACAATCCAAGCTTACACCGTTGCCTGCTATTTGCTCTCCATCAGATGTTTCACTGATCGAATGGCCACAGCGATTAGGATCCGTCCCAGTTCCAGAAGACAGACTGGATATCAACATTCGAATCCTGTCAGATGATGATGATGATGACGCCACAGAGACCGGTAGCAACATTTCTCGCATGATGACAATCAATCCACGAGGACCTTTGTGGGAGGATAGATTGAAGGAAATCGTTGACGAAGGGTATTTGGAGGACCTCATACTGTAGCATGTAAGAGGAACAAAACGAAGGCGTAAAACTCAATCTAAACACTTCAAACGCTGTGTTCACTTTGCAATCAGCACCAGCTATCAGTAGTACTAGTAGTTAGAAGGGTGAATATACAAGTCATACCAGAGCATCATAGCTGGTGTAGAGCTACTTTCAATTGATTCGATTGATTCAATGCTACCATTTGAACCGATTCGCTTAGCTATCTTCCTTTTTGGAGGCAGAAGGTTTTCTCCTCTTGCTTCCACGAGCCCGTTCCTTGGAACGTCGTGCACCAGCCTGTCGTGGACCCGAATCTGTCCTTGGCGCTGCTGGTGGTGTATCAACCGTGCCGGAAGCTGCAATTGTCGTCGCAACTGGGGCGGCAGCCACGGGCTCCTTGACTGGTTCCTTCTTGGGTGCTTGCTGTGATGATCGAGGAAAGACACGTCGAATGTAGACAAGTTGAGTTAGTTGGCGAATTGTGGATCTACCGTTTCACGACGAGTTGAAAACCAAAACAAGCGAGCAAGCAACCACCACACAACAGTCTGTACCGGTACCTACCTTCTTGGCTACCTTCTTGGCAAGCCCCTTGTCAATCGCCTGCGATGCAGCTTCTGCAAGTCGCATCACCAACACATTTTCTCCATTGAGTGGCTTGGAGCTAATGGCACCAAAGCCCGCCGCTGCGTCTCCGGGTCCTCGTGTCGCCACCAAGCCAGAGCCGGATACCTCAACGATCATTTTCCCAACCGTGACACTGTTGAAGTCCACCAGTTCTTGCCAGACAATCTCCACCTTGCCATCACCGGCACGCTTGGCAATGACAGGTCGCGCTCCCGTCCGAATGGCAGCAATATCATAGGTACGCAACACGGCTGGAGCCCACTTGGTGGCCAACCAGTCCGCCAGACGCTCTGTATCGGGAACCGACGAAAAGGATGCCGAAAACAACTGCGCCCCGGCGCCCGACTCGAGCATTTTGGCCGATCGTTGAAACTCTTCTTGCCAGGTTTCTTCTCCCACGAGATCGCTCCCCATTTGCGAAGAGAGACACAAATCGAGACCAGTGGCCGATACCTTGTCCAGCAAGATCCGAGCTGCAGCTTCTCCCACGGAATGTCGCGAAGAGCGCGTGTTCTTGCCCATCATGACATTTCCCGTGACGGTGAGAGTTGGATCGATGCGTACGGATCGAGTCATGTATTCCTCACAGAATTCGGGGTTTCGTTGGGGTCCTCCCACCAAGGGTGAGAAATCGGGGGATGATTCGGGCGTCCCAAAGAGTTCTCCATGACGCAAAATGGCCAATTTGGAAGCATCCGCTGCCATGGCCTGTGTAAGTGTGGCCGGTAAAGAAACACCACCTCCTCCCACGAGGGATCCCACCAAACTACCAAGACCACCCTTTTCTTCTTGTGGTTGTTCAGTTTCAATATCTTGATCCAAAGCGGACAAAATGGCCACTTTGGCACCACTGACAGCTGGTGCCACCTGTTTGGCCGCCAACTTGATGGCATTTTTCCAGACTTGCGTGGGATCTTCCTTTGAGTTTTCCATGGCTTTGGCCGCCTGTATACCATCAAATGTACACGCCATGCCATTGGCTTGTCCACACCATGTCGATACAGCTGCCACGGCCGATTTTGGGTCTTCTTCTGGGAGGAGCAAACTTTCGGCATCGGCTCCTGCCAATTCGACACTGCCACCGGCACTGGCAATTTCGTCCAATGCCGATTGCGACAGGACCACATTGGGATTTCCCGTTTGGGATACGACAAACCATCGGACGGCACTTCCCATGGTGGCCGCCTTGACCGCTGTCACTTCACCCACTCCACCGGGTGGGGAAATTACCACCAAGGTTTTTTCGGCGGCCATTCTCAGGGCTACATCATTGTGAAAGAAATTATTTCCTCGTGGGGCCACAAAGGCCAACGTTGGAGCTGCCGAGAGCAGACAAAGAGCCCAAAATCGTACCATCATGGTGATGCAGCTTTGTATTGCAAGTGTCAATGCTACTGGCTAACTTTGAGTTAGTTCAATGAAAAAGATCATGAAGAAGCCCTGCTTTGCTGTCGCCACAGCCGCAAATACCTCTCGGCTTCTTCCTCATTTGTCTGATTGAGTGCCACCTTGAACCAACGTCAGTCTCGAGCTCACTTCCGATTGATTCAATCCCGAATGACGTCATACAAGTGTTTTGTCGAACAACATGTGCAAGTGGCACCTGTCATTCCAGGTGATTTAACGGCAATAATGACCGCGACTTCTACGGATGCCTCACCAGTCCCATTTCAGATTGGATCTTTTCCAAGCAAGCAAGCGGAAGTAACTTTTTGTTCCTGCATGGCGATCGATCAGGTTGCTATGCTTCGGCACTTCTATAAAAATCCGGCCGATTTTGTGAACGAGAATCCACACCACAAAACAAAGGCTTGAGAAGAGGACGAGCTTGCACTAATAACAGTGCTAGGTATTGTGAGAGTGCGAGTGTATGCAGTTGTTGGATTGGATCCACCATCATGACACAAGCAACAACAACCATGGAGACACCGCAAGACGACGCCCTGCCTCGAATCAGCTTGGGATCCGAGCTGGGAGCTCTTCCAGAAGATAGTCCTGTGGAAGATGGCCCTTCTGACGAATCTTTTGATGACTACATCAATCAAATGTCGGATAGCGTTCATTTTGATGCCGACGACATGGCAGCAGCGGCAGCTGCCGCTGCTGTGGAAGGCGACCCTGCTGTTGATACTGCGGGTATCCCTGCTGCGGGTCCTCAAGCCAGTCCTCGAAACGACAAGAACAAACAACAGGATCACTTTACGCCCAAACGAAGTTTTTTGGCGGAATCGCCCTACTTTAGTGCCTTTGTCGAAAAGGAAATGTACGAGTTGGATATCGTCACGGGTGTTCTCAACGATATCTCGGCTCGCACGCGATCCTTCACCAAATACGGAGCCATGATGGCAGACGCCACACACAGTCTCTCACTCTCTTGTCGACTGCGAAAAGAAGAAGCCGCACAGGAAGAAATCAAAATCTCTCCCCGGCAGCTCGATGACGAAATTGAAAAACGCCGTCAAGCTCTGGGACCCGAAATGTCGGATCTATTGGGAATCTTGGGTGAGGTGAGTATCAGAAGATGGATGATACTGCCAGCTAACTAACTTATGATATCCTATCTTACCAACTGTTCATTCTCAACTTCTTCCTCTAATAACGATCATCATAATACTACTAGACACTGGAAGAAATTGCACAGGCCCAAATGACCATGTGCAAAATTTTTGACGCGACACTCTGCAAGGCGCTTGAGAGCTTTGTTCAGGCCGACATGAGAGGAGTCAATATGCTCAAGTCCGAAGCCGACAGCCAAACCGTCGTGGCAGAACAAATGCTATTCAAGTACATTACTGGGAGACCATCCCTCTCCACCAATCACTACGACGATGGCGGCGAATCCAAGAACGAAACGCCATCAACACCACCCAAGCCACCCAAAAATGCATTTTCCAAACTCTGGTCCCGAGACGGAAGCCACTCCAAGCGCGCTAATCCCGGCAGTGATCCCGCACTCGACAAGGCCATTAGTGCCGCCAATTGGAGACTCAATTTGGAAGAGATTCGTCTCAATCAAGCTACGGCAGAACTGAAACGCTTTCAGTTCACCAAACTATTGCTCGATGTCAAGAATCGAAGAAATCTCGAACTCAGCGAAGGCGCCGTCTCGTCTGCGCACGGAATGCAAGGATACTTTCATTCCTCTCTCGATCGAATGGCAGGGTCCTTATCCATGATGAAAAAAATTGAAGAACGACAACGAGAAGCCAGAAAGGCACATCAAAAAATAGAAATGCCCGTGTGGTTGGAACGAATGAATCTTATTGTCAAAGTACTCAGCAACTTTCAAAGTTCGGCGGCAGAAGCGTCGCACGTTTCCTATGCCGTCGCGGCAGGCGATCCAATGTTGATTGATAAACAAATAACCGACGTGGGAGGTCTCGAGAAGGTAGTTCAGTTCTGGGACGTCCCGTCCATGTTGGCCAAAAGTTCACGATATCGCAGGGAGGCTCCCGTGGGTGTGCTGCATGAAGGATGGCTCTATCAAAAGGTATCCTCCATGTTGTCACTGGCGTCTTGGAATCGACGGTGGTTCATGTTGAAAAAGGATGGAATTTACTGCCTCGAATCCAGTGCCGAGTTGAAAAGAGAAAACACGGGTCACTCCACTACGAAAGTTAAGATCTGTGATGTGGTGCTTTGTACAGCCAGAGAGATACCGAATGATTCGACGGGCCGTTTCCGATTTGAGCTCATTGCTCCCCGACAAAAGACACTCTTGCTCATGGCGCGAGGACCAAAGGAAATGAAAACATGGATCAAAGCAATTCGCAATGCCGTTGAAAAACAATTGGTTCATGGCGATCCCGAGTGCGAAACTCTGAACCAGAACATTGGCAGACTCAAGAAAGACAGGAGAAGCACGGAGATCGCCATGACAGTTTTCAAACAGGAGTCCCCTCTTTCAATGGAAAATGCCATCCTGGAAGAATTGGCTGAAGAGGTCTCGGACGACGAAGAGGAAGGAAAATCCAAGCGAAGTCCGCTCGTCAACATGGTTTTGGAGGAGAACTCGACTTGTGCTGACTGCGGGGCGAAGAAGCCAGATTGGGTGTCGCTGAACTTGGGTATCCTAGTTTGCCTCGAATGTAGTGGTGTGCACCGGTCACTCGGTGTTCATGTGAGCAAGGTATGTTGGTTGGGTCGTGACGGAACGAAGGAGAGAAACTCTCTCTAAGCAGCCAAGGGCAAAGGATTTTTGGTTCTCACACTCGCGTGTTTTTGTTTGTTTGAAGGTTCGGTCGCTGACCCTGGACGCGCTCAGTGATAGCGAAGCTAAGTTGCTGCTTGCGCTGGGCAACGAAAAGGTGAACGCGGTATGGGAGGAAACTCTCGCCCAACAACCAGACAGGCCAAAGTTAGACGAATCCGCAGACCGGGACACACGAATGAAATGGATCAAGAGTAAGTACTTGACAAAAGATTTCATGGCCACAAACGGAGATAAGGACGCTGAAACCATAAATCGGGAGTTGTACGAGGCGGCCAAAGAAGGACGGGTACTAGCGTCTGTGACTGCTCTAGCTCATGGGGCGGACATTGAATGGAAAAACGACAAGGATGGTGGCAAAACCTCGCTGCATGTTTGTGCAGTCCAGCCTCGTCCTAGTGGCGAGGTAAATTGGTATGCAATTGAATGTGCCGAGCTGCTTATTCAGAACGGGGCCGACATGAAGGTTCTAGATCATTCTTCGCACAATGTCTTGGATTGTGCTGTTATTGGTAATGCAGATCGAGAAATGGTCGAATATTTGGCTAAGAAATTCGAATAGAGAATTTTCAATCACAACGCGCTTTGTTGGAAGCCATTCGTCCATATACAACAGTAACTGCGATATATTTTGCAAGAGCCCTCGCTTCGTGCCTCTATAGCAATACGTACCGGTACCTTCCTGGCCGTTGCTTAGTTAGAGCAAGAACGCGGCGGCTGACAGGCGGCAACCTGTGCGGGGGATCCAAACGGGAGCCAGCCCACGATGAGAGCGGAGCCCCCAGCTGAGATAGGAAGAGCGATTCCAGGACAGACGAAAACACGGTCAGCAAGATGGTGACGCCTGAGGCCACCAAGAAGTTTCGTAAGCATCAAGCATTTCCATAATTCGTTGCTGCTCGAGATGATGATGCCTCTTTCCTATCCTAGTTTTTGTCATCGTTCTATCCTATCCGTTCGTAAACTTCCTCTAAGTCGGTGCCTCCCCAACTTAGTTAGATGATCGATGATGCCTCTCTTTGAAGTGATTTCTTGTCACCATTCCGAAGGAGTGTTGAGACAGCTCGGCGCGCAGCGAGGAGCATTGTTCTTGGGGCTGGCACCGGCAGCTCCCTCTGTACCCTCTACAGTACTAGCTAGTAGTAGCTAGCTCTAGCTACCTGGAACCGGTAGCTATGCAAAGCCTGTGGAGCCACGACTTATCCAAGGTAACAGAATCTTGCCGACATGTATGACCATCGACAAAATTTATCAATTGCAGCAAAAAGTGAGTATTCTAAATATAATTTACTGGGATTGACAGAGACAACCCATCAAGCCACAGTTCTGTTGCCTCGTGCCGATCGTTCGTCTCATAGTTTGATTGCTTTGATCGATCTCATCTAAGAATCATGGATCTGAATGACCCCCAACATGTGCTGGCAGCACTTGTTGTGGTCATCACTTCGATTGGGGTATTGGCTGCAATCTTGAAACGCCATCTCGAAACACTGAAGCCATTCAAGGACCTCCCTATGCCCGACGGCAGTCATTGGTTCCATGGCCATGCAGAAAAATACTTCAATGTTGACTTTCAAGAAGGTGTCAAGCACCTAACAACTGATTTTGCCAATGAGCACGGTTTGTCTGGGAATTGGCTTGCCAACGAGCCTGTTTTGTGCATCAGCAACTATAAAGATGCCAGGCAAATCCTGATGACTGAGTACTCCCGTCGGGAGCCTTCCCTTTTTGTTCACCATTTGAGGGGCTTCTGTGGACAGAGAAACTTTCTAATCGTTAATGGTAAGGAGTGGAAGGCCAAGAGAGATGCCGTCACCCGAACATTCGACGAAGATTTCATGAAGGCATCACAAGTTGCCATGAAACAAGTGACGCTAACCTTGGTTGAGTCTCTCAAAACCAAGCTAAGCAACGAAGGTGGATCGATACAAACGGACGTGCAGCCATTGATGAAGCTAATTACTTTGGATGTGTTCGCAATGATGGCATTTGGAGAAGATCTCAAATGTTGCAGAGAGTTGGTCCCTTCCAAACTAGCGCAGTCCTTTGACTTTATCTTGGCAGAATTTGCACGACGGATGGCCGGCCCCCTCAACCCAGCCAACCTTCTTTATTGGATGCCAACGCCGCTCAATATGCGCCACAAGCACGAGAAAGAGATGCTTTTCTCGTTTGTCAACGACCTCGTCGAAAAACAGCGCCGCCAAAAGACCCAAGACAATCTGATGCTATCTCGATTGATGCATGCACAAGCGCATGTGCTTGGAAAGAAGTCTATCGAAGAGGTGTCCTCGAGAGTCCTCTTTGACGACATTATGGTAGGATTTCGTATTGTGCAAGCCGTACTGTACTCATACCGGTACCGTGTCATCTCACTCACGTTGTACTACTTTGTTGCGGTTTCCAGCTTCTCCTCTTCGCTGGATATGACACCACGAGTATCACCCTCATGTATGCCTTGTATCTCCTTAGTATCAATCCTGATATTCAGGAGCTGTGTGCAGAAGAGACCTTTAACAAGAGCCTTGAAGACCCCAAAGAACTCGTCTACACAAAGGGCGTCGTGCAGGAGACACTCCGCATGTATCCTCCTGGCCCCCAGACCACTCGTACGGTCAGCAGGGACAAGACGTTGGAAAGTGGCTTCAATGTCCCCAAGAATACGTATGTGTACGTTTCTATTTGGTCCATTCATAGAAACGAAAAGATCTTTCCCCAGCCCCTGCAGTTTCGACCCGACCGATGGGTCAAGCTTGTTGATGGCACGGATTCTGCCACTGCCAACGACTCTTCGCAAGCCAGCAAGAAGTGGGTAGAACGAGCCAGCATGGAAGAGCCAAAGGAAGAACCTGGTTGCACCATTGCCGCGGCGAATCACAAGGCATTCTTCCCCTTTTCTGCGGGGGGCAGGTCCTGCGCCGGCCAAAAGTTTGCTCTTGACGAGGCAATCATTGTACTCGCGACTCTTGTCAAGCATTTCCAATTCAAGCTGGCGGATCCAACTTTCAAGCCTGATATCCAGATTCGTGGTATTTTGCAGATGCCAAAGGACGGCATTCCTCTTACTATTGAGATGCGCAAGAAGACAAACTTCTAATGGACTTGTTGGCCAGTTTGATTGATCTCGTTTTCTCCATGAAGGTGAACTTCAGGGGCCCCGCGCTGTAGTTCTCCCAGAAGCTTGATGAAGCATATTATACCTGTATGATACTTAGCAATTACTAACTGCTGTAGCTGGTTCCTTTTGGTTGATGAAAGAGTTTGTGTGCATCCCGAGGTGTCGAAACGTCGGAGCTGTGTGGAGTGGCGAACACGGAGAGCCGTTTGTCTCTTTTTGGCGGAGCAGTACCATGGAACAACAAGCTGGTAACATGGAAATACCGGTACCGGTACTTCCTTCTAAAGCTCAAACCTTCCGTCTTCTGACCGAGTGGTACCGGTACCAGTACAGTACAGTACAGTACAGTACAGTACAGTACAGTACAGTACAGTACAGTACAGTACAGTACAGTACAGTACAGTACAGTACAGTACAGTACAGTACAGTACAGTACGGACAGCGGGTCAACAGCACCACAATGTAGCATGCCAGTTTTAGTCTTGTGTTTGCTAGTGACTGAATAAACAATGTTCCCAAAAATCTTAAAAGATCAGAGATTTTGTTATTTATTATGCCTAACCTTGTTAAGGACACACTATCGTGTGAAGTACCGGTAGCCCCCAGATACATTAAGTGTGCAATACACGGCTCTTAGCCTTATTCGCGACTCGATCCTAGATAGGGTTTGAGTTCGACTCATGACTGAGTCTCTCGTGAATAAGTCATTTGAGACAGGGTTCTCAATGACCGCGCTAGTCATACTAGGTTGATGATGAACATCGCTCTAGATATTAGCCAGCGTGGAGTACTTCCACGCTACTAATCCAGGCTAGACAAACCATTCCACGCGTTCCGTTTTAGGATCTGGGAGAGACGTAGGATTACTACCACAACCTACTCTTTCACCTCTCACATAGTCTCCCGCGGAAGTCAGATCTACGATCCCTTGATTGATGATTCTCTCGTTGATTAGTTTTTCATAGTTTCTATGTGTGCTCTATAACTTTCATTCTCTCTCAAAACTCAAAACACTCGAAAGATCTTTTAAACCTAGCTTTTAAGCGTTAGTGCATTTTGTTAATAAACACAATACTTTCAGCTACCCACTCAACCTATTCTTTCACCATGAAGATGCCTCAAACGGAAGCAGCGTTCCGCAACTTCGAGAAACAGTTGCGTCGTTGACAAAACCCATTCTTCCTCTCGTCGACAATGAGAAGAAACGAGATCGACGATACTCGTGCAACCACTGCAAATTTCGCAACCATGTTGCCAAGCGCAAATCAGAAAACTCATGACAAATGAGGACAACTCCTTTATCAATTTCAATCACTTGGATGGAGAAATACTCTACTGAGGATTAGGCCAGGATGATACCAATCGGAACCATGTTTCCGATTTCTCATACCAAAGTGAAAAAGATTCTCACTAACTAGTAAACAAGAAATTGGTTTGCAACTGTGAACTAACTACGGAAATTTAGGATGATTGCTCTAGAAAGCTGCTCAACTAGACGTCTGATCGATCTGTTCAGCATTGTTAACCTCGGTCCGTGGCCAACCCCTCGTAAACGTCGCAAGACAAGAAACCTCAAACCCTTCGTCTATGTTAGATTTAACAAGCGAGAAAAAGGGAAACCAAATACCGTTACACTCCGTTTGCTTACTGGAACAGGAGCATCCCGGAACCTTGTTTCTCAACACTCATGCTAAAAGAATTAGCATGAAGATCTGGGGGCGTCCAAACAGATGGTGACTACCCCTGCAGGGAGAATTAAAACACCAGCACGAAGTGCAAGGTGCATTTATGATTCCTGAATTCCACGAAGATAGAATTATCGAGTGGGATTTAAACGTCACCCAAGAGCTTGGGGGCGTTTGACATGATCATCGTAGGTCGAGACATTCTCTCTGACTTAGGATTCAAGTTCGATTTCACTACCATGTCAGTGGATGGGACGGCGCATCTATTTCCTAATGAAAGATAGCGGACACCAATGAAGAAGAAACTTCTTCATTTCCTGATCCTACTGCTGTTGATGACAGTGCAGATCCTCTCAAAAGATTCTTGAATCGAAATACGAAAAAGCTTGACTTAAGGCAGGTTTGCCAAAGTCAAGATCAGTTAACACGGAAGAGAAGAGAACGCTTCATTCCTTACTGACGAAGTACTCTGACCCTATTCGATGGTACTTTAGGAAAGTGGCAGATGGACGACTACGAAGTAGAATTCTCCCTGATGCTAAACCCTATCATGCTAGTGGCTTATCCTATTCCACTTTCCTACCAACACTACTTAAAATGGAGGTTGAATTCTCTGCGAAGCAGGAGCAACTTAAGAAGGTAATAAGTTCCGAGTGGGCGGCACCAAACTTTATCTATCATTGCCCAAGAAAGATGGATCTGTACGGTTCATCTGACTCGGGAACTAGAACAAAAGGATTAATTAGCGGAAGCCTTATCCTATTCCAAAAATACAGACATTGCTCTTGAATCTAGATGGAATCAAGATACGCTACTAGTCTAGACCTATAACATGGGATGACTATCACATCGAGCTGTCACCTCACTCGAAACAACTCTGACCAACGTACTCCACTCCGTGGGGAAAGTACGAGTACAGAGGTTGCCAATGAAGCATATGTAATAGTCCCCACATCTTCCAAGAGAAGATGCGAACACTAATGGACGACCTAATTCCGTGTGGATGAACGAATGTACTCGTTGAAGTCGGGTAGAAAGCGGCAGGTTTCTTTGCTGATGATCTTGTTCATCTGGCTAAAGGGCTTGTCGTGTTCCGCTTCCCATTTTCACTGTGTTGTTTTGGAAGTCAAGCGAAGCGAGAAGTGGGCCAGACAAATGTGATCGTCTATCCACATGTCTCGATAGAAGTTCACTAGTCCAATTGATCTACGGAGTTCTTTTCTGTTGGCAGGAGGAGCGATATTCTGGATCTGTGTGTTGTTGTTGGTGTGGGTTATGGGTTGGATCTGTCTCGAAGTCAATCAGTACTAGGGACTGTTCAGTTCTCCTCTATGCGAAGAAGGCTTAGGTAGGCATTATCTTAAAGTACGGCTTCTCGAGCCTTCGGAAGAACTTTTCAACGTGATCCGCCATATCGCCGTTGGTTAGGATTAGTAGATCATCAACTCGTATGCCAGGACGTATTC